ACAGAGGTTCGATTCCCAGCACCCCATGTGGTCCCCCGAGCACCGCCAGGAGTGATACCTGAGTGCATGAGCCAGGAGTAACCCCTGAGCATTGCCGGGTGTGACCCAAAAAGCGAAAAAAAAAAAAACAACCAAAAAATAAAACCAGACGAGAGTGAACTGGGAAAGCCCCCTAAGCCCCCTAGTGGCAACCACGGTTTCCCGCCCGTTTTCCTTTGGGGATATTCATTGCGTGGTTAAAACTTAGAGCTGAATCAACACCCACCGGCGGCATCACCCTAGGGTCTGGGCGCTCCGCTGCCTGCCGACATCCTCATCTCGGGGTGGGTGGGGAGCCCAGCCCAGGTGTGAGGAGAGAAACCTGAGTGGTTGGTGAGGAAACACCCTGAAAATCCGGGCTAGATAAAGGGACCGTGGCCATGCCACCTGCTAATTACGCGTGGGCATTCTCCAGCACGGTCACGTTCCAGCGCCCACCCGCAAGGTCCCCTCCCTTCCCATTCCTGTTTGGTCCTCCCCTGCATTTGGCCTCACACCCAGAGATCCCCCCCCCGCGCCCCGTCCCCTCATCTCACTGTGGGTCACGGGCCATCTGCTGATGCTCAAAGACCTCAGGCATGGGACTGGAGCAATAGCACGGCGGGTAGGGCGTTTGCCTTGCACGCAGCTGACCCTGGTCCGATTCCCAGCATCCCATTGGGTCCCCTGAGCACTGCCAGGGGTAATTGCTGAGCGCAGAGCCAGGAGGAACCCCTGTGCATTGCCGGGTGTGACCCAAAAAGCAAAAAACAAAACAAAACAAAACAAAAAAACAAAGACCTCAGTCTGTGGCAAAACCCCAGCAGCAGTTAGACAGCCTGCAGGGGCATGGACAGCGGGCTGTGCCCTCCCTCCTGGGGGGCGTGCAACTCTGCTCCCCCTCCGAGGCTGCTAGGAGCCGCCCCACTTCTCAGAGGCGTGGTCGCCCCTCACCTGCTGGAGGGAAGTTTCAACCTAAGAAACTAAAAATGCGTCTAGTACCTGGTGGGGAGTTAAGAAGAAAAAAGAGGGCCGGGGTGATAGGACAGCAGGAAGGGCGTTTGCCTTACACGCGACCTACCCGGGTTCCATCCCCGGCATCCCATTTGGTCCCCCAAGCACCGCCAGGAGTCATTCCTGAGTGCGGAGCCAGGAGGAACCCCTCAGCATTGCCCGATATGCAAGATTAAAAATAAAAAAAGGTCAGGGGTCTGGGGCTGGAGCAATAGCACAGCGGGTAGGGCATTTGCCTTGCACGCGACTGACCTGGGTTCGATTCCCGACATCCCATAGGGTCCCCTGAGCACCACCAGGAGTAATTCCTGAGCGCAGAGCCAGGAATAACCCCTTAGTATCGCCAGGTGTGACCCAAAAAGCAAAAAAAAAAAAAAAGTCAGGTATCTGGAGAGAGAGCAGAGGTGCAGACTCGTGTTCAATCTCTGCTACCACACAGTTCCCCAAGTGTCATAGGGAGTGACCCATGAGTTGTCACATACCCCGATGTCCCTGCCACACTTAGGGAGTCCCCCCAACGAGCCTTCATGGCTTTGGTCCTTTGCTGGTGGGTGGCTGATCACAGCGGGGCTGTGAGTTTATCCAGAGAGATCTCCGTGCCCGGGAAGACTCACACAGAAAGCAGCAGGGCTGAGCCCAAGGGAAAACACCAGGAGATGCAAGACCCCATTTCTGGGGCCCCTCTGAGCTACGCCAGTGCCCAGGTCCTGGGTGCCTCCACTTCTGTCTTCATTGCTTCTCGCTGAGCACCCCTAGAGAGCAGCAGGGGTGGCAGACTGAGGCACATGCACCCGAGTTTATTTGAGCAAGTACGCATTGATGCCAGGCAGCACTGCTGCGTGGACAGGAGCCAGGGTGCGGGTTTCCATGAGAGGTGCAGCTGTTGCACTGACCGTTGCTCCGTCAGTGGCCTTCCTGGGAAAGCCTCGGGTACTGTGATTTTTCTGTGTTTTTTTTTTAATTTCTTTTTGGGTCACACCCGGCGATGCACAGGGGTTACCCCTGGCTCATGCACTCAGGAATCACTCCTGGCGGTGCTGGGGGACCCTGTGGGATGCTGGGACTCGAACCCGGGTCGGCCGCGAGCGAGGCAAACGCCCCCCCGCCCCCCCCCCCCGCTTCTTAGACGCAACCGGCGCTGCGGACTCCTCCTCCCCGGCGATCTGCGCCCCCGGCTCCCGCCCCTCACACCCCCAGCCCCAGAGTTGGGGGGAGCCCGGGCTGGCCCCGTCCCCGGACCTCGTGCCGGCGGCGCCTGCTCTCCCGCCCGACCACGAGGGGGCGCGCGCACCCGCGCCGCCGCCCGCGCTGCGAGGATTGGCCCTTGCCGCGCCCCGTCCCCGGCCGTTGCCCGGGCGACCAACGGACCCGGCCGTCTGCGCGCGGGCCGGGCGCGGCCGTGGGTCCGAGCGGCCGGGGCGTGCGGGGCTCGGGCCGGACCCCGGGGGCGCCAGCGCGCACGCAGCGTGAGTCGGGGCGGGGCCCGCGGAGCCGCCCGGGGTCGGGGGTCGGGGGTCGCGGGGGGCGGGGGGCGCCGCTGGGTCCCACGCGCGGACACGCACGCGGACACACACAGGTGGACACGCGCACGGACACGCACACAGGTAGACACACAGGCACAAAGACACACAGGTAGACAGACACACACTGACACACAAGCACACATAGACACACACAGTTGCACACACACAGACACTCAGACAGATAAACATGCACAGACACACTGAGATAGACAAACCGACACACACACAGACACAGAGACATACATAGAGACACATGCACACACAGACACACACAGTTGCACACACACACACAGACACTCAGACACACGCACACACACAGACAGACACAAAGACACACACAGATAAACAGACACATGTACACACACAGACACACAGATAAACATACACAGACACACTGAGATAGACAAACTGACACACACACAGACACAGAGACATACATAGAGACACATGCACACACAGACACACACAGTTGCACACACACACAGACACTCAGACACACGCACACACACAGACAGACACAAAGACACACACAGATAAACAGACACATGTACACACACAGACACACAGACAGATAAACATACACAGACACACTGAGATAGACAAACTGACACACACAGAGACATACAGACACATGCACACACAGATAGACACACACACAGACATACACAGAGACACATGCACACACACAGACAGACTCACAGACACACGCACACATAGACACTCAGACACATGCACACACAGAGACAGACACACAGGTGCACACACACAGATAAACAAATACACAGATACAGATAAACAGACACATGCACACACACAGACACACACAGATAAACAGATACAGACACACACAACAGACACCGGCACACATACAGATAGACACACAGACACAGAGACACACACAGATAGACACACGCTCAGACACACAAAGGCACACTCGTATAGACAGACACACACACTCCTACGTTGCGAAGATTTATCCGTGGCCCCTTTGCCACCCGGTAGTAGGGCGGCAACTCTGCCCCCTTTCAGTGTGAAGCCAGATCCCCCTTGCTTCTTCGTCTTGTTTGTGGCCACACCGCTGGTCCTCGGAGGAGGCTCCGCCTGGGGGTCCTCCCAGAGGTGCTCGGGGAAGCCTGCAGGATTGGGGATCGCACCCGGGGCCCCAGCGTGCAAAACCCGCGTCCCAGCCCTGTGCGCGCGGCCCCAAGACAGCTCCTGCGGGTCTGAGCGAGCGAGTGCTTGGGCTGTTTCGTGCGCGTCTTTGCCAGGCGCCGCATAGACCCGGCAGCCTTGGGGCCAGGGGCAGGCGCGGGGGTGAGCCAGCCTCCCGCGCGCCACCTCGGGGGTGTCCAGACCTCCCACAAGGAGCCTGAGGGACTCCGCCAGGCGGGCCCTGGGTCTGAGCGCCTTCCCCGGACACTTAACCCCTTGCAGACCTTGCAGCCCTCAGGAGATCCTAGGCGGCTCAGCGGCTCAGCTCCTTTCCGGCCTCCCTTCTTGGGTAGGCACCTCTCTGAACCCGTTTCCTGAGCACAGAGCCCGGAGTAACCCCTGAGCATTGCCGGTGTGACCCCAAAAATGCAAAATAATTAATCATTTTTTTGGAAGCAGACAGATCCCCAGCATGGGGCTGGCGAGATGACTCTGAGGGCTGAGTGTGTGTGTCCCTCGTAAGCACGAGGCCCCAGGCTTGATCCCCAGCCCAGCCCCAAGAGTCTCCAAGAGTCCCAGCAACAGGCTGTAGCGTTGAGCCAGAGGCTGAGGCCCCCGGGAGTGGCCGCTCAGCCAGGGTTAGGGGGAGGCTGGAGCACCACTGGGACGGCCCGTCCCTCATACTCCCCGTGCTGCCGGGCGCCCTGACCCAGGCAGCGATGTCTTTGCTGCTGACCGACACCGAGCCGGATGCAGTCCCAGAGAATTTGAAACTCCTACTGTATAGCCCTGATGGGGTTTTTGTAGTTGTTGTTGTCCTTTTTGTCTGGCCATGCTCGGGGGTTACGCCTTGGCTCTAAACTCAGGAATCACTCCTGAGTGCTGGGGGGATCGAACCTGGGTCAGCCGCATGCAAGGCAGACACCCTCCTGCCGTCCTGTCACTGAGGCCCCCCGTGAAATTGTTTTTCAAACGCTGGTGTCTGGGGCTGGAGAGATAGCTCAGCAGGTAAGGCATTTGCCTTGCACGCGGCCGACCCGGGTTCGATTCCCAGCATCCCATAGGGTCCCCTGAGCGCCGCCAGGAGTAACTCCTGAGTGCATGAGCCAGGAGTAACCTCTGTGCATTGCCAGGAGTGACCCAGAAAGCCAAAAGCAAAAAAAAAGAAAAGCTGGTGCCCGGAGACCCGACACTTTGATGTAGTTTGGGGCGAGGCCCGTGCTCCACCTTGAAGGAGGGAGGCCGGGTGGGCGGGGGCTGCCGGCTCGGCGACTCTGTGCCCCTGTCCTCCAGATGGCCCTCCCCACGCTGCCCTCCTACTGGGGCAGCCGGCAGCTGGTGCAGCAGCAGCTGGCCCGGCAGCGCGAGCAGGCAGCCCAGCTGCAGCAGCAGTGGGACCGCAACCACCGCTACTTCCGGCTGTCCGACATCCGCAGCTCCAAGCAGGCCGAGTGGAGCTCCCAGACGTCCTACCAGCGCAGGTACCGCGCCGGGGCCGGGGACCAGGATCGGGACTGGGCGCTGGGCCCGCTTTCCAGTCCACGGGCTTGCTGGGCGGCAGGCGCCACCTGCGGCGTGGTTGCTTTCCCCGAGAGTCAAGGGTGAGAGCGGATGAGTGAAGTCGCCCGTCTGCGCTCCGAGAGACGGGGGCGGGCCGGAGAGAGGGAGCTGTGCCGAGGGCACTTGCCTGGCACGTGGCTGACCCGGCTTCGATCCCCAGCACCCCATGTGACCCCCTGAGCCCACCAGGAGTGAGTCCCTGAGCTCAGGGCCAGGAATAAGCCCTGAGCACTGCTCATGTAGCCCCCGAACGAAAGCAAACATAAGGGAGGAAACGCTCAGCCGTGTCTGTGGGAGCCCTCTTGTGACCCCACGCCCGGAGGCCCACGGTTAGGGTTCCGATCTCAGCTGTGAATACGCACGCGCGTAAAAGCATTTCTAGGGAAAAGGTAGAAACGCAGAGGAGAAAGCAGAGGCGGGGATCAGGTGGGAATCCCCCGTCACGCGCCGCAGCAGTGAGCCCGGGTTCCTCGCCAGGGGAGCCAGCCGAAGCGGAACCTGCTGGCGCGATAGCACAGCGGTAGGGCGTTTGCCTTGCACGCGGCCAACAAGGCCGACCCGAGTTCGATTCCTCCGCCCCTCTCGGAGAGCCCGGCAAGCTACCGAGAGTATTCGATATGCCAGACACAGTAACAACAAAGTCTCCAGTGGAGACGTTACTGGGCCCGCTCGAGCAAATCGATGATCAACGGGAGGACCGTGACCGTTACCATGTATATGTTTAAATATTTTTGACTTTTGGGCCAGACCTGCTGGTGCTTGGGGGACCTTGCGGTGTGAGGGATCCCACGTGCCATGCCCGTGCTCCGGCCCTTGGCGCTGTGCCCTGCTCCCCGCCCACCCCCCGCCCCCCATACTGCATCTTCTTCCGTGACCTGCTGTCTTCAGCTTGGCTGGAGGGCGCGTGCCCGGGTCTCAGGCTAGCCCTCAGCCCCCCGCCCCCCCGTCCCCCCCAGGGTGGCCAGAGCCTCGCTCTGACCTCTGATGTGCGGACGGGGCCCTTCTCTTCAGCATGCACGCCTATCAGCGCGAGAAGCTGAGGGAGGAGAAGAGGAAGTGCCTGGAGGCCCGGCGGGCGCGGCTGGGGCAGCTTCTGCTGGAGGAGCAGGGCCTGCTGGCCCAGGAGCTGCAGGAGCTGCGGCTGAGCCCCAGCCTGCAGGAGCAGAGTCTCAGGGAGCGACACGCACGCCTGAAATCCACCCGAGAGGAGCAGCGGAAACTGGTATCTCGCCCTCTCCCGCGGGGCGTCACCCCGGGCGGGACCCTGGTCTGGTGCGGGCCGGTCGCCGCGGAGCCAGCTGGGAAGTGTCTGCCCTGGCTCGAGTCGCCGCTCTTTGGCCCCTTAAGTCATGATCTCCAGGTCAGGTCCTTTTCCTTGGTTCCAGTGCTGGGGTCCCACAAGGGTCTGGGACTGGCCTCCCCGAGTAGTTGTGGGGCACCGTGACCCCCCAGTGGGTGTTTCTGGACCTTTAGAAACGGAACCACGGCCTCTCGCACCGAAAGTAGCTGCAGAATTGGTGCCAGCGCCGCCTCAGGCCTCCAGGTCCCAGGGGCCGCCTGGCCACAGGCCCTGGGGGTCCCAGTCACTGCAGCCTTCATCCCGGGGTTCTCTGCAGGAGATGCAGCTTTGAAGAGCCGCATCCCCGCCCTGTTTATGTTGGCAGGTTGCAGAACAGCTCCTGTATGAGCACTGGAGAAAGAACCACCCGGAACTCCGCGAGGTGACTGTGGAGGGGGCTGCCGTCCGCTGCTGAGCCTGAGTAGCTGGGCTCGTTTGTGGCCTGGCTTTCCAGCTTGCCTCTGTGGTGGGCTAACACAGGGGGGACCTCCAGCCCCGCCTCCGATGCTGCTGTTCCTTTAAGGGCCCTGGAGCCCAGGAGCACCCCCGAGATGAGGCCAGGTCCTCACTGGAGAAAGGTCTCTTTTAATTTTTTGGGGGGGTCACACCTGGCGTTGCACAGGGGTCACTCCTGGCTCTGCACTCAGGAATTACTCCTGGTGGTGCTTGGGGGACCCTATGGGATGCTGGGGATCGAACCTGGGTCGGCCGCATGCAAGGCAAACGCCCTCCCCGCCGTGCTGTCGCTCCAGCCCCGAGAAAGGTCTCTTAACGGTGCCGTGGCTTCTGTGTTCCGGGTTCTGTGGGCCTGGGGTTGCTCTGTGTGCGTGACGGCGGGCCCTCCATAAGGCGGACCCCTGGAGCGCCATGGTCTCCCTCTTCCCATCCACAGGTCGAGCTGGACCTGCACAGGAAGCATGTGATAGACTCCTGGGAAACCCAGAAAGAAGAGAAAAGACAGGTGTGGTCGGGACCCCGGGAACGGCTGGCAGGTGCTGCCTGCCCGCGCCGGGAGCGTGTTAGCGGGGTTCAGACCTCACGCTTGATGTGCCTGCTCTCACCAGGACTCCTGCCACTTCTAGGGGCAGAACCACGCGGGGTGACCAGGCTGGTGATGGGAGGGGGAATATATCAGTGGGCATGGCCACATCCAGCTCGGGCACTCAGGGCTCACGCCTGGTTCTGCTCAGCCATCGCTCCTAGTGGGCTTAGGGATGCCTGTGTGGTGCCGGGGATCAAACCTGGTTGGCCGTGTGTGTGTGTGTGTGTGTGTGTGTGTGTATGTATGTGTGTGTGTGTGTGTGTGTTGCCAGGGACGGCAGGCAGGGCCCCCAGCGCCCTCCCCCTGGGTCTCAGCCTCTTGGCAGTATATTTGGACGGAGTTTTTTCATCATAAACTCACAGCCTTGGTTTATAGCGGCGCCTCTGGGGGGGAAGCCTAGATCTGCAAAAACTCACTGTTTCGCCTCTGGGCTCGTTTTGGAGAGACGGGTGGGAGGGGATCGCCTCCCCCCCCACACACAGCACACACACACACACACACACACACACACACACGCACCCTCTCTTCCTTGTGCTCCTCCTTCACGACACACCCTTTGCCGGGTAGGCGTCCAGCTTGGCCTGAGAAGCGCCTCGGCCCTGGTTCCTAACGGACATGGGTCCTGACCCACTCTGGCCGAGACCCGCTGGAGCGGGAGGTGGGCTCTGTGGCCGCGGGGAGCCGGGTGGCGGCCGTGTGCCCGAGTCACGCGCTCGTTCCTGACCTGGTTTCATGCGACGCCCCCCCACCCCCCAGCAAGAGGCCGAGGAAGAGAAAGAGAAACAGCGGCACGAGAATGCCTACGAAGTGGCCCGCCGGGAGGCGCTGGAGCGGCTGGGAGCGGAGGAGGAGAGGCGGCAGCAGGAGGAGAAGCTCCAGGCCGAGGCGCTGCGCCGGCAGATGGAGGAGCTGGAGCTCAGGGAGCGGGAGGTGAGCGGGGCCTGTGGCCGCCCGGGCCCCCCACCCCGGGTCTGCAGGGGCGCCGAGGCTCGGGGTTTGCCTGGCCCGAGGCTGACCTGCTTCGACCCCGGCACCCCGTAGGGTCTCCCAAGCCCGCCAGGAGTGACCCCTGCCTGCAGAGCCAGGGCTAAGCCCCTGAGCACTGTCAGGGCGGGGCAAAAGAGGTGCTGGGGGCGGAGGGGCTCTCGTTCTGAGAGAGGCAGCCCGGTGTGGTCAGGGTCAGGGTCCCCGTCCTCTCAGACATGTCGCCAGGCCTGCTGGGACCCCCCAGGGTGCCCCCCGGTCTGACCTACAGCCCCAGCGCTCAGCTCGGCCTGGCTGCAGGCCGTGCAGTCTCGGGGGTTCGACCCCCGGAAGCGGCCTGGAGAACCCGCGCAGCTTCTCGCGGGTGCCCGGCTGCTCCGTCAAGTGGGTGGGAGGGGGTCTGCCCCGAGTGTCTGCCGAGAGCCGGAGCACGAATGGCGGGCCCTGGGTCTCACTCACGGTGCCCGCGCCACTGCCCTGACCAGGCCACCCAGCTGAAGAAGGAGCAGGAGAACCTGCTGGCGCAGCGCTGGGAGCTGGAGCGGCTGGAGGAGGAGCGGGAGCGGATGGCGGCCTCGCGGCAGAAGGCGGAGCTGGGGTGGGTGAGGGGCCCGCGGCTGGGGCAGGCGGGAGCCGGGGCCTGCCGGCTGCCTGACCCCGGGCGCCCGCCCCTGTGTGTGCAGGCGCTTCTTGCGACAGCAGTACAGCGCGCAGCTGAACCGGCGGGCCCAGCAGATCCAGGAGGAGCTGGTGGGTGTGAGCCCCCCCACCCGAGACCCCGCAGCCCCGTCCCCACACCACGGAGGGTCCCTCAGGTGTGCCCAGGGGGGTCGCCGCTCGGCCTTGGGAGCCTGCCGGGCCCTGGGCCTGCGCTGCCTCAGGACTTGCTGCTCCGTGCTCCCAGGGGAGGGCCCTGGCCAGCCCCTTCTCGCCCGCCCTGCCCGCTGGGCGTCAGGCCTTGCTGGTCTGCCCTGGAGTACGACACGGCAGCGTTCGCGTGCGAGTCTGTGTCCTTAGAAGCGGAATTGCTCCAGGCACGCGACCGACCGGGGTTCCATCCCCGACACCCCGTAGGGCCCCCCGAGCCCCGACAGGAGTGACCCCTGAGTGCAGAGCCAGAGGTCAGCCCTGAGCACTGCCCGGCATGGGCCAAAAGCCACGACCGAAAGAGGAGGTGGCATTGATCGCCCTGGTGTGTTCCCCGGGCAGTGCCAGCGGAGTGGCGTGTGCGAGGCGGGCGTGTGCCCGGGACAGGGAAGCCCGGGGCCTCCGCGCGGGGGTGGTGGCTGCAGGAAGGCCCTCGGCCTCTGCCCCCAGGAGGCGGACGGGCGCATCCTGCAGGCGCTGCTGGAGAAGGAGGAGCAGCAGCAGCGGGCGAGCGCGGCCCGGCGCGAGCGGGCCGTGGCCGACGCGGCCTGGATGAAGCGGGTGATCGAGGAGCAGCTGCGGCTGGAGCGGGAGCGGGAGGCGGAGCTGCAGGTGCTGCTGCGGTGAGCGGGGCCCGCGGGCGGGCGGCGGGGCGAGGGCGACCCTCTCGGCTCCTGCACCCGGTGGGGGACGGCCCGTCTGGGTCCAGCATCGTCGAGCCGTGCGGGGGCAGGCGGGGAGAAGCCAGGCAGTGCTCAGTGCTTCTCAGGCATTTGTTTATTTATTTTTCCTTTTTGGGTCACACCCGGCGATGCTCAGGGCTGACTCCTGGCTCATGCACTCAGGAATCACTCCTGGTGGTGCTCGGGGGACCCTATGGCATGCTGGGGATCGAACCCGGGTTGGCCTTATGCAAGGCAAACGCCCTCCCCGCTGGGCTATCGCTCCAGCCCCTCCTCGGGCCCTTTTAAGCGGGTCGTGACCCTCAAAATCTATCCCATAAGCTGAATTCAGGGCGTATCGCTGTTTATCGAGCACTGGCAGTGCGTGCGAGGCTCCCTGCTCAGTGCTCAGCTGCCCCTGCGTGCTCCCCTCCAGCCAAGTGGTAGGCACTTGGGACGCTAACATGACACCGGAAGTGCGGTGACAGGATTCAGGCTCCTGCCCACCCCCCCCCAGGTCCTGATGTCACCCCTCACGGCAGTGGTCTGCGGGCGAGTCTCTGCCAGTGCCTTGTTCAAGGGGAGGGAGGACCAGCACGGAGACTTGGCCTCTCTCCTCGCGGGGCTTCCTGTACTTTCGCTTCCGTTGCCTTAGGGCGCGGGGCTCCATCCCACGGTGCTGGGGCTGCTCTGAGCTCAGTGCTTGGGCTCACTGCTGGCAGTGCGGGGGACACCGTGCAGTGCTGGAGATGGAGCCCAGGGCTCCTGCACGCAGAACCTGTCCTCTGGCCCATGAGCCACCTCCCGGCCTCTTTACGAAGGCTGCCCCCAGCTGCCACCTCTGAAGGGTCCGGGCAGCCAAGCGGAAGCGCAGGAGACCCCACAGAAAGGGGGGGGTGCTTGTGTGGGTTTCTGGGGAGTGGCCCCGCGCCTGCTCTCACCGGTGTGTGTTTCCCTAGGGAGGAGGCCAAGGAAATGTGGGAGAAGAGAGAGGCCCAGTGGGCCCGCGAGCAGAGCGCCCGGGACCGCCTGATGAGCGAGGTGAGGCTGGGGTGAGCGGCAGGGCTGCCCCGTGCCCGGATTCTCGGAGACGGGCCCAGTCAGGCCTCGCGAGAGCCCGCAGCCCCCCGTGAGCACAGCCGGTGCTCTCCCCCCTCCCCCCTCCATCCCAGCCCTGCTGCTGCGTCTTGGGGGCGGAGACGGACAGTTCTGTCAGTGTTGAGCCACCGTTAGGAGACACAGCCTGATCCACAGGAAGTTTTTGTGCGGGAAAGGCCGTTTCCGTGTGTTGGAGGTTATTCCTGGGAGCCGGAGCGTGCAAAGGGCTGACTGTCCTCTGGCCTGCAGGGCCTGGTTCCCTCCCTGACCCACAGCTGGTGGCCCCACGAGCGCTGGGCAGCGCCGAGAACTGCCAGCTGCGACCTCAGAGCAGACTCGAGTCGTTTCTGTGTGCTCAAGTGGGAGTCACTTTTTTAATGGCTTTTGCGCCCCACTTGACAGTGCTCGGGGATCTCTCCTGGCTCTGTGCTTGCGGATTGCTCCCGGCGGTGCTGGAGGGAGCCCGTGCCGTGCCGGGGCTGGCCACACGAAGCGGGGACCTTCCCCCGGGCTCTCTCTCGCAGGCCTCCCCGCCTCTTTTTTTAAGTTGCAGTTTGTACACGCCAGTTAGCTGCACTTTAGGGAGGCGCCTCGGCAGTGTCAGGGTCCCCTGGAGTCCGGGCGCCCCCGGGCACAGCCACGCTACCCCTGCATGCCTCCCCACCCTGCCCACTCATCAGTGTCCAGGAGGAACGGGATCGCAGCGGTGCTGTCGCAGTCTGGGTGTCCCTGCTGTTCTCCAGCCCGATGAGATTTGCCCCTTTCGAAAGTCCCTCCTGGCGGTGGCCGGGCCATGCCCCCTCCAGAGAGCCTGACCCTGGGCTGCGTCTGGCCACGGGTCTGGCGGGTGGAGGCCGGCACCGCTTCCCCTCCCCGGCGTGGCCTGTGCTTTTCTCTCTGCCGGCCTCGCTCCAGGGGCTGCAGACACCCCTGGCTCTCTTTCCCCTGTGCCCGCGGCCCTCGCTGGGTGTGCTGGTGTGTGTGGGGCACGCGTGGACCCGCCGGGCTGGACCCCGCGCTTTTCCCCGGTGCCCTCGGGACCGCGGCCGTGTCTCGGCAGCTGCGGCTCCTGCCCTGGCTCCCCCTGAGCCTTCCCGCCTCTTCTCTGCCAAGGGTAGGTTCTAGCAGGCAGGCAACAGCAGATCCAGGAGAAGATTGAGCAGAACCGGCAGGCCCAGGAGGAGTCCCTGAGGCTCCGGGAGCAGCTCATCGGGCACCTGGAGGAGGCGCGGGAGGCAGCCCGCCAGGAGAGGCAGCGGAGCGAGGAGCTGAAGTCGGCCAGGAAGCAGGAGCTGGAGGCGCAGGTGCGCGGCGGCCCTTGGGGGCCTGGTTTGGGGCCCTCCTCCTGCCCAGGGCTACTCTGTGCCTCAGCTCCCTCCAGCTGCGGCCGTGGCACTGTGGCACGCAGGCTGTCCCTGTGCACACCTGTCCGTACGGGGCACCGGGCCTCGGTCCCAGGTCACCCTGGGAGCTTTCCCAGGGTGCAGAGACCTCTCACAGAGCCGGTTCTGGCACTGCGGGTGTGGGGTGCTGGGGGGGGAGTCCTCGTGCCGAGGTCCCGCTGGGACACGTGCGCGCCCACCCCCCCGCCCCCCAGCTCAGCCACCGTGCTCTGCCCCTGCAGGTCGCCGAGCGCCAGCTGCAAGCCCTGCAGGCAGACCAGCAGGAGGAGGAGGAAGAGGCCGAGGCCAGGCAGGCCGAGCAGCTAACCGACGCCCTGCTGCGGCGGGAGGCCCGGAGCATGGCCACGCAGGGCTACCGGCCCAAGGTAGGGCCGCCCTGCACTCCCCGCAGGCTGAGTCTTCCTCGCACCCTTGGTCTCCCTGGAACCCCAGGGGTCTCTGCCTGCTCGAGCCCCGGAGTGCCCCTGGCTCTGGTTGGCTCTGGCTCCTGACAGGTGGGGACAGACGTGGGTGACTGGCGGGCTCCCTCCTTGCTGTGCTCCACGGCCCCTCCCTCCCTGGCCTGGACAGGCCCTCCTGGGCGCATGGCCCCCCTCCTGGCCCAGGGTCACTGCAGGAGATCAGGTCCCGGTGCTCAGATCACTTGGCCCTCAGGCCAGCAGGCCCCCGAGGCTCAGACCACCGGGCCCTCGGTCCAGCAGCTCCTTTTCTTATGGGCATCTGGGACAGCTCGCTTGGGACTGGTGCTTTAGCTCTCCATGTGGGGTGCACACCTGGCAGGGGTCAGGGGAATCGTGCGGGGGCGGCATGGAGTCCCAAGCGAGTGACTCGCCCCGTGAGCCGTCTTTCCGTTCCCCAGGACTGCTCCTTTGAATTCTTTTTATTTTATGTATTTCGGGGGGATGTAAGGCCATGCCCAGTGGTGCTCGGGGTGGGCGGGTCACTCCAGGTAGACCATGAGGTGCCCGGGTTGGACGAGGCTAAGCTGTCACTCCAGCCCCAGGACTGGAGAGAGAATACAGTGGGCAGCGCACCTGCCTCACAAGCAGCCACTCTGGGTTTCATCCCTGGCGCCTCTGGTCCCCCGAGCTCCACCAGGAGTGATCGCTGAGCCAGGAGTAGCACTGAGCACTGCCGGGTGTGGTCCTAAAACAAAGAAAAGAAAAGCAGTTATGGTGGTGGAGTGGTAGCTCGGGGGGGAGGTGGCTTGTCTTGTATGTGGCCAACCCACACTCAGTCCCCAGCACCCCAGATGGTCCCCCAAGCCCAGCAGGAGTGACCCCTGACACCACCAGCTGTGCTCCAAAAGCCCCATTCAAAAAAACAGCAGCTGACAGTGCTTGTTTATAGCTTCGGGTTAGAACTTTTTTCTTTTCTTTTTTTTTTTTTTTTTTGCTTTTTTGGGTCACACCCGGTGATGCCCAGGGGTTATTCCTGGCTCATGCACTCAGGATTCACTCCTGGCGGTGCTTGGGGGACCATATGGGATGCCGGGGATTGAACCCGGTCCAGTCGGCCACATGCAATGCAAACGCCCTACCCGCTGTGCTATCGCTCCAGCCCCCGGGTTAGAACTTTTTCAACCATAAATGAAACCTGCCGCTTACATTCTGAACTTAGTTGTTAAATCAGAGCCTGCAGATCTGAGCAATTTATGGTTTCTTCCTTTTCTCTCAGTCTCATGGACATCCCAGAATCGCCTGGAACTGACTTGGTTGGTGGGAACCACAGCGAGCAAGGACATGGAGCCTCGGGCCGGCCGGCTGCAGTCGGCTTCACCTCACGGTGGCCATCCTGGGTGCAGGCTCCTGGGAGCTCCCCGCAGTGCAGCAGCTCTGGGGCTGGGCACTGCAAGATGGGCTGGACGCAGCCCCCAGCCGCAGGAGGCCCCGGCCCGTCCATCCCCGTCTGCCAGGCGGGCTTGTCAGGCTCTGCGGTGTGGCGAGGAGGTGCCGAGTTCCCTGACGGGCGCTCGTGTCCCTGTCTTCCTCCAGCTAGGGGGACGAGCCTGGCATCAGGCTGAACAGAGGGAGCGCGCCAGGCGCCACCTTGCCGGGTGCCGCTGCCGAATGCGCGTGGCTCCTGAGTACGTCGCCTGCATCACCCCTGTCGAGACGAGGCCTCTCGCGCCTCCAGACTCACGCGGGGTGTGGGCTGAGGGGCTCACGCTGCTCTGGGGAAGCTCACATTCTCTGAGCGTGTTCTCGCAGCCTCTCTCTCTCTCTCCCTCCCTCTTTTCCTCTTTCTCCTCCTCTTTCTCAGAACTACCAAATAAAATCTGTTTTATTTCAAAAGAGGAAAAAAATGAGCGAAGGAGGGGAGTTGAACATTTTTAAATCACCATTTAAATCACTGTTGAAAAGAAACTCCAAAGTTATGGTGCCGTTTCCTCCAGGAGTGACTCGTGGCATGCCTCCCGAAGAATCACGTTTTGTTTTCCGGAAGAAAACTCCGAAGCGTGGCCTGTGGCTGCTCTCCGGGGAGGTGGAGAGAACGGACTCTCCATTCAAAAGCATTTCCTCTGAGCACTGGGGGCGGGAGTGAGCCTTCGTCTGACGTTACTGGACCCTCAAAGGGAACCTCCCGGCGTCCCGGGGTGGCTGACCTGTGGGCAGGCCCTGGGCACACGGAGCTGGGAGGTGGCAGCCTCCCGCAGCCTGCTGGGCCCATGCTCGGGGCGGGCTGGCACTTCTCTGCGTGCGGGGACATCAGAGTGACTCAGCCCCAGGCCCGTTTCTCCAAGCCACTCCAGGGCGGCATCTTACTGTTGACCAACTTCCCGTCCTTTCCCTCCAAGGTTTCCATTTCCATCCCGTATGGTGTTCAAGATTCCCCACTGTAGGTTTCATTTCACTGCAGGACTGTGTTCTGTGGTTACTAATATCCACAGTTGGGGGCCGGAGTAAGAAAGCAGCAGGTAGGGTGTTGGCCTTGCACACAGCCAATCCAGGTTCGATGCCCCGCCTCCCGTGTGGTCCCCCTGCACTGCTGGGGGTGATTCCTGAGTCAGAAGTAAGTGCTGCACACCGGACGTGGCCCAGAAACAATTAAATCCAGAACTGGCCAGGAAGCCCCGAGTTGGAGGACTGTGTGACCTCCACTTTCACTGTGGGAGAACAAAGGGAGCCTCTGGCCGCCCCCGGGACCTGCTGCTGAGTTTCTTGACTCGCCTTCCTTTGGATGGGATTCCTGAGCACCTTCATTCCGTATGCTCACCTGTATCCCTGGGTTCCTGTGTTGAACTGTGAAATAAAGGTTTGCTCTGACACTGCTTCCAGGCCTGGGTATTGGAGCTTTTATGAACTGCCGTGGAGTGACACGGAGCGATGAGAGAATTTCACGGGCTTCAGCCACACCCTCAAGTCGGGCCGCTTCCTATGACCGCTCACATTTTCTCGGTTCCGGTCATTTTTCTTGTGAATGTGCTTTGTCCCGCCTCTGGTTCCCACGGGAGCAGCCTCTTCAAGCAAGCTCTAGAGGGTTGTCAGCAGCTGGTTGGAACCCAGAGTGCCCTGCGTGCCAGGCTCCTGTCTCAGCACTGGGCTGCCCCCAGACCCACAGACCTTTCCCGGAGCACGAAGCTGATGGAGACTCGAGGCCTGCCAGGGACGCTGAGACACACACAGTGGCAGGGCACTCCCCGGCACCAGAACAGTCACTGTCACTGTCCTCCCGTTGTTCATTGGTTTTCCCAAGTGGGCCCAGTAACGTCTCCATTGGAGACCTTGTTGTTACTGTGTTTGGCATATCAACGGGGAGCTTGCCAGGCTTTGCCATGCGGGCGAGATACTCTCGGTAACTTGCCGGGCTCTCCGAGAGGGGCGGAGGAATCGAACTCGGGTCAGCCCGGCCATGTTGGCTGCGTGCAAGGCAAACGCCCCACCTGCTGTGCTATCACTCCAGCCCACCAGAACAGGATTTTGAATAAAGTACTTTGAATATTTTAAATACTAATTTAAAAGAAAAAATGTTGAAGTCTTCCAGTAATTTTATTAGCATTAAAAACTATATTGGGGGGCTGGAGCGATAGCACAGCGGTAGGGCGTTTGCCTTGCACGCAGCCAACATGGCCGACCCGAGTTCGATTCCTCCGCCCCTCTCGGAGAGCCCGGCAAGCTACCGAGAGTATCTCGCCTGCACGGCAGAGCCTGGCAAGCTCCCCGTGACGTATTCGATATGCCAAACACAGTAACAACAAAGTCTCCAATGGAGACATTACTGGGCCCGCTCAAGCAAATCGATGATCAACGGGAGGGCCTTTACCTTTTTTTATTGAAACAATGAATCTAATCAAAGCAGATAGAGTGTTAACTAGAATTCATCTGCCCCACAGGGACTGGGAGGGGTGGGGGGTGGGGTTTTATTGGGGTTCTTCATGGTAAAAAATAAGTTTTGGTAAAGGGAAATGTGCTTGATATTTGCATGACTGAGACCTAAACCTGAAAGCTTTGTAACCTTTCCCATGGTGATTCAATAAATAAATAAATTAAAAAAAAAAAAAGATACCTTTCTTACCCATTAAAAAAAAAAACTATATTGGGGGGGATTGGAGCGATAGCACAGCAGGGAGGGTGTTTGCTTTGCATGTGACTGGCCCAGGTTTGATCTCCGGCATCCCATATGGTCCCCTGAGCACCGCTAGGAATAATTCCTGAGCGCAGCGCCAGTAGTAATCCTTGAGTATTGCTGGGTGTGATAAAAAAAAAAATCGCCCTATATTATGGTAGCTGACCTTGCATGGGCCAACCCTGGTTTGGTCCCCCAAACACCACAGAATGACCCCTGAGCAAAGACCCAAGAGTAAGCCCCGTGCCCCAGAAGGTGTGGCTCCCCCAAACCTAATTCTGCCCCCCACCCATAGGTAATCCTGTATTATGCTGGTTCTTTTTAGGGGAGGGGGCTGGGTTCGTACTTGGCGGTGATCAGTGGCTACTTCTGGCTCTGTGCCGAGGGTCACTCCGAGCGGGGCTGGGGTCTGAGCCGGGCTTGGGATGCAGAGTGAGACACCACGCCACCAGGCGCCTAAGCTGGCTCTCTGCCCTACTCCTCACGGTGCACTGTCTACCGGCAGAGCAAGCAAGCTCAGTTCAGAGCTCCCAGGTCTGCTGTTGGCCACCAGCGCTCTTACTCCTGTGTTTTGACGGTTAGCTCACAGGTACCGACCCCGCTTTTCAGGCTGCAGGTGCTCCTACAGACGGTCAGTCCAAAGGTCCGTGCTCTGCTCCTCTGTGGGTTCGTCTGCGAAGGTCAGTCCCTCGGGACGGCTGCTGGGAAGTCACTGTGCTGCGAAAGAGCTCTCGTTCTGCACACGAGCGATCTTCCCTCTTCCTGCTTGCAGGCTTAGCTCAGATACCCCGCAGTGCAGAGAGCAGCGCGGGGCCTGGCAGAGCTATGCAGCTGGACGAGGCAGTGACAGGAAGCAGACGGGTGCGCGGAGGCTTGACCATGGCTAGTTGGCACGCAGCCAACGACTGCAGCGACTCCCTGGGCAAAAGCACAAGTCAGCCAGCCTCATGGATATGATGATTTTCAAGATCTGGGTTTTCTTTTTTCACGATCTGGTTTTCTGCATTCTGTTTCCACCTACAGCACCATCCTCAAAGAATGGTGTCTGAGCACTGGCTTCAGCAGTGCCGGCCGACCTGGGTGCAATGCAGCCATGCAAATACAGTTTCACTCGGGGCTGGAGCGACAGCACAGCGGGGAGGGCGTTTGCCTTGCATGTGGCCGACCCGGGCTCCATTCCCAGCATCCTATTTGGTTCCCCGAGCATTGCCAGGAGTAATTCCCGAGTGCATGAGCCAGGAGTTACCCTGAGCATCGCTGGGTATGGATCCCAAACTGAAATTAATAATATTAATAATAATTAATAATATAATATAAATAAATAATATAACAAATAAATATTATCACTTAACTTAATCACTTAACTTCCCGTTAGTCGTCGATTTGCTCGAGCAGGTGCCAGTAACGTCTCCAACTATAATAAATATAAATAAATAATAAAATAATAATAAAAGGGCTGGAGCAATAGCACAGCGGGTAAGGCGTTTGCCTTGCAAGTGGCCAACATGACTGACCCAAGTTCAATTCCTCTGCCCCTCTCAGAGAGCCCAGCAAGCTTCTGAGAGTGTCTCGCCCGCACGGCAGAGCCTGGCAAGCTACCAGTGATGCCAAACACAGTAACTGTTTTTGACGTATTCGATATGCCAAACACAGTAACAATTGTCACAATGGAGATGTTACTGGGCCCGCTCGAGCAAATCGATGAACAATGGGAGGACGATCACAGTGATCATGACCATCCTGTTGTTCGTCGATTGCCTGGAGCAGGCCCCAGTAACGTCTCCTTCGTCCTAGCCCTGAGAGGACAGTGACAGTAATAAAAATAATACAATGTTTTACTTGTCTGTCATGGCGATGTCATTTTCGAGACTTACTCAATGACTTCATGTTACAATCATTCAAAAAGTTTGACAATAAAAGAAAAACCAGGAGAACCTTAGGGATCAGAGTGATAGTGCAGCAGGTAGGGTGCTTACTCTGTATGTGGCCGACCTGGGTCTGATCCCCGGAACGACTTACAATCCCCTGAATCCTGCCAGGAGTGACCCCTGCACACAGAACCAGGAGTGAGTCCTGAGCACTAAAGCAACAACAGCAAAACTCCCTTATGAGCACATTTTCTTTTTTTTGGCGAGGGGTTTGAGGGAGGCGCACCCAGGGATGCTCAGGGGTTTCCTCCTGGTTCTGGTCTCCTGGCGGCGCTCAGCACACAACAGGGGACGCTGTATGTTGAACCGGAGTCAGCTGTGTGCAAGGCAAATGCCCTCCCGCTGTACTCCTGCTCCAGTCATTTTTTTAAAAGTCATTTTATTTTTTTGGTTTTGGGGCCACACCCAGCGATACTCAGGGGTTGCTCCTGGCTCTGCGCTCAGGAATTACTCCTGGTGGTGCTTAGGGGACCCTATGGGATGCTGGGGATTGAACCTGGGTCAGCTGTATGCAAGGTGAATGG